GGGAACGGGGGAACGGGGACGGGGGGAAGCGTGGCAGCGGGGAAGAGGGAAAGCAGGAGGAGGATTAGGGTGGGGGGAAGTAGGGGGAAAGAGAGAGGCTCCTGCGGTATCCCTATCTCCTCCCCACGTTGACAGCACTCGAGGGGCGGTTGACTGCAATGCTGCCTGCAACTGCAGCAGCAGAGCCGCCACTGTGGTGGGGGAAAGCGTGGTAGTGGGGAAGCGGGGAAAGGGGGGGAAGGGGGAAAAGGAAGGGGGGGGAAATAGTATCAGAACTACAGCAGCAAAACACCATCGCCCGAAATAGTCGTCTGATGCACGTTACACCATTCGCTGTCGACCACGACCAATACAGCATGACTCACTCACTGTCATGTCAGGCGACTGCCGCGAGGGCGGGTGTCTGCAGCACCCAGCAGCGTAACCAGCAGCAGGTCAAGCCAGCAGGCCCCGTCACAACTCCTCTCCTCCTAAGAGAACTGTTACATCAGTACTCACCGTCAGGCGTCTGCTGCGGACCGGTGTCTGCAGCGCCCAGCAGCAGAGGGTGGAGCGCGAGCAGCGTCACCAGCAGCAGCACGAACGACAGGTCCAGCCAGCGGCTTCCGCCACTACTCCTTGTAACAAAATAGCTACTCCAATACTCACTGTCGGGCGTCTGCTGCGGACCGGTGTCGGCAGCACCCAGCAGCAGAGGATGGAGCGCCAGCAGCGTCACCAGCAGCAGCACGAACGGGAGGTCCCGCCAGCGGCTTCCGCTTACAGGTATAGACGGCGCCATGGCTGAGAGTTACGAGGGATGAGTTAATATGGATGGGAGAGGAGGGAGGGAATATTTTTTTGTTGACTCAAAGGCCGGCTGCGTCACCACCAGCAGCTCGAACGGCAGGTTTAGCCAGCGGCTTCCGCTTATAGGTATCGACGGCGCCATGGCTGGGAGTTCGGAAGTTATTGGAGGAGGGAGGGAAGGAAATAAAGAAGGCAGCGAAACGCAAGGGACATGAGCGAAGACAGACTCGTTCGTTTAGGTAATCGCTTGGGTCTGCAATGTGGTCGCAAGCTTGGGACGCAAGCTAGACGAGCACAGCAACAAGAATCCAGCTAGGAACGTGAGCGAAGACATATTCGTTCGTTTAGGTAATCGCTTGGGTCTAAAATGTGGTCAGGGCTCCTCTGCCCCATGCTCGGGACGCATTTCTTACCTATGGGGTTCGTTTCGTTATAGGCAGGTTCGTTACTCGTGACGTTGTCACGAGAGCACTGTTCGAAAGTTCCCGCTGAGACGTGTAAGCAGAACGCATCGACGAACACGAACATGTTAACCCCGCTTCTCTCTTTTGAGACGACTAAAAGGCAGTCGCGTTATGAGTCGATTAAAAAAGAGCCCACCTAAGACAGCAGCAGGTCGAATTTCTTGAGGCGCTTAAAAAAATAGACTCCTCACCGACGATTCATCCAGCACTCGAATTCAGCGAGGACTCGATAAGCAGCCGCGTACGATTTAAACAGCAGTCGCATTTCGAGTCGACTAAAAAATCGCGCTGACATACGGCGTTTTCAAGCGGAGTCGGTTCAGTCGCCAGAAGACGTGCAAGCCAAACCGAATGGACGAACACATGAATGCCTACTCCCGGCGGCGGCTACATAATCGGCGAGAACTACGTTTGAATCTCGACGAAAATGGAATTGAATTTCGCATGCATTCGCATCGGCGTCTCAAAAAGACATGTGAACAGAGCGCATGTAGGAGCGACCTACCCCGCACACGATGCAGAGTCAACGCCGCAGCTGCGACGAATGAAAATGTTACCAAAACGAAATGGCCGCTTCGTGATAAATCTAAGACTGTGTGCGAGAATCCGGATAGAAAGCCGTTAGAATGCTGTGAAACGACCGCACGAAGCGTCAGTGGCATCAGGCGACCTAGCAGACGTAGCAGCAAGACATCAAGCAGCGAAGCATGACAAGAAACAAGACGTGTCATTGCGCCTAAACAAACACCCAGCAGCACTAAAGTCAGGCGACTAGTTTTGAGGCGCCTCAAAATCGACCTAGCAGACGTAGCAGCACGAGAATAAGGAGCGAAGAATGACAAGAAACAAGACGTGTCGTTGCGCCTAAACAAACACCCAGCAGCGCTAGAGTAAGGCGACACCTCAGCCGACTAAATGCACCGGTTCGACAAACGCTAGAGTAAGGCGTGATCTTGGACCGACGATTAAGAGAATGCAAGGGAGAAAAGGGCGGAAGGATAGAAACCGAATGAAAGAGAGTGGGAGAATAATACGGGGTTGTTGCCGTTTATTTGTCTGGGAAAATGCAGCATCAGAAATTTGCCTCGCGAATCCCGCATTACCACGATAAAATAGAGCTATCTCGCGAATCTCGCACTACCATACCGAAAGATTAACCCGAGAATGTTACATAAACTCGCACCTGACCAGGTCAGCAGCAACGGAGATTTGCTTTCCAGAGACGACTCCCGACAGCGAAAACTCCGCCTGCCTTTTCTCTTTCTACCTCAGAGCAATAAACCAGGGTTGGAGGCGAACTCGGTGCTGGTATGCAGCATGCGAAACCTATCGCAGCCCTACCATAGCAATGTGAGAGGATGGTAGTCAGCAACAGCAGTAGAGGAACCAAGGAGTTCCCTGGAGTAATGTTGCTTCCGAAAACCACGTTCTGGTCCAAGAACCAAGATTTGTGAATGCTCCTTGCTTCACAGGGAAGGGTGGCGGAGGGTGATGGGTGGGTGGTTGGATGGATAGGGGCAAGGGAAGGGAGGAGAAGGGATGCGATGAGATGGAATGGGATATGATGGGATGGAATGGGGTTCACTTTATGGGAACAGAAGGCAGGAGGAGAAAGAGGTGGCCGCTGGAGCAACAGTGAAATCCTGGTGGCTGCAAGCAACCAAGCTCGTCGTCTCGTCAGGCAGGCATTTGTGCCTTGATACTGCTGTGGCATTTATCCGAGCTCATCCGGCCGTCCATTCGATCTGTTCCGATCATCGAAGTCGTTCATTACTGTCCGTTACCATCCCCGAAGCCCTGATTGATGCGGCGAGGATCCTTGAATTCTGATGACGGAGTCAAGGGGTTCATTGTAGCACCTGCGGTCATCCGAAAACATTTGAGCTCCTGACGTGAGGGAAAATCACGGCATTTCTCATTTGTGTGTTTCTCAGGATCAACGAGGGACGTACAGTTTCCCGTAAACCATAGTGCATAGTGCCCGTAACTTGCTTTCCTACCTGGACCTTGTGTACTGCAGCTGAATGGCCTGCAAATCAGGAAGGTTTTTAGATGCCCAGCAGTGATTGTAATTGCCCAATGGGCTGGCGCCATGCGCGCGTCTTTCGCCGATGTTCCGCGAGTTGTCGGTGTAACAAACTAAATCGAGCTTGTTGCATCAAACGAGCAAAATCTGAGCAGAAAGTCCCGCTTAAATGAACCTGAACCGATGAGTTCCGACAGAGTTTCATCGGTTGCTCGTTTTGTCAGTATCACCGAGTCTCCAAGGCTGCCTGTAACCCCATAAACGGGTAAGCTATTCGTCGCCAGGATGTGCCGACTAGAATTCGCATGAGTCGTATCGATTCTCGTACCCGTTTCGCCCATGTGAAAATTGGGTGAAACCTGGATTAGTCTAGTTGCACCTCAGGTTCACACTGGCTTCGCTCTCTGCTCGTCTCATGCACGCAGGGGTGGTTCTATGCAATGACACAGCACACCACACACGAGATTGCAGGCTTCAGTTTATTTGGGTAGCAGTGTAGCAGACACAAGTAATTAGGAGTCGCGATGGGCGACACGGTGGATCGCGTAGTCGGTGGCGTGCTGGTTCTGATCGCGCTTACTGTCTTCTCGTACTACAGCGTCTGGGTTCTCGTCACGGTAGGTTTCGTTTTCTCACCAGATTATGCAATTCGAGAGTAACTTCGTCGCAGAATTCTCTTTTAGGGTTCAACCTGCTCTGGCCATGGTTGCCCGTCTCCGTTCGCCTCTCGGACCCTTTCCAGCCATTCCATCCAGATAGTTTTTTATTCACGTCCTATTACTGCTAGTATTTGGAGGGGTGGTAAGCGTGGAGATGGGAGGTGGTAGCCGCCGGACGACCGTGTCATCAACGCTCACTTCCTCCGCGTTTCTATGCGGTGCTCATTCCTCTTGCTTTCTTCTGTCTCCCCCTTCCCCACTTCCCTTCTCCCCTCCTCTTAACTCCTCCCCCCACCCCCCCCTCTCCCCTTCTCCCCCTCTCCCTTTCTTCCACCCCCAGCCGTTTCTTCCAGACGGTCATTCATCAACGCGCTCTTCCTGCCGCGCCGTGCTCATTCCCGCTGCTGCCGCTGTTTCCCCCTTCCCATCCTCTCCACACCACCCCCCCCCTTCCACCCCCCACCCCTTCCCTTTCTTCCACCCCCAGCCGTTTCTCCCAGACGGTCATTTCATCAACGCCCTCTTCCTCCCGCGCATCTATGCCGTGCTCATCCCCGCGGCTGCCGCTGTGCTGATGCTGGGCTTCGTCCTCGTTTTCTTCGCTGTGGTGCTGCTGGGGCAGAAGAGTAAAAAGGCCAAATCTAGCTGATACTGATATTGATGCACCACCACACCACCCTCCTGCGCATCTACCGTATGCCGTGCTCATCCCCACCGATGCCGCTGTGTTGATGCTGGGCTTCGTCATATTCTTGGCTGTCGTGCTGCTGGGGCAGAAGACTAAAGAGGCTGAATCCAGCTGATACACTCTCACCAGCCCGTTCCAAATAAGCTCCCTACGGATGTGCCTTGTTTTATTGACTCTTGTAGAGTGCATCTTGTACTATACCAGTAATCAGTAGCAGTTTGGGTGGGGAGGGTGCCAACAAACATCAGCACTGCATTTCGAATGCGTCAGTGGCTACAGCGCATGACACTAAGGAGTGTGGCTTACTAACCTTTCCATAGTCGCCTGTACCCCTGAGAAGAGAAGGGTTGTTTTTTCTGCCAGTGCCTAGGTTGTGGTGTGTATGGTTTTGCGCAAGCTTGAAAAAGTTTTGATGCCGTGTTCCCACACCAAATCAGCACTGCACATCACTTCTTCTCATGCATTAGGGGCCTGAACACCACCCCAAATGCGTACAGACGGGGCAGCAGAAGGAACCCTTCGTCCACCGATGGAGTACAGCTGTCTCTATTAACGTCTGAAGCATCCTCACTTCTCCTAACCCATGAGGGGCCTGAACGCCACCCCAAATGCATACGGACAGGGCGGCAGAAGGAACTCTTTGTGCACCGATGGAGTCCAGCTGTCGTCGCCACCCACGCCCATAATGGCATGGTCCAGGTGCACCTGAAAGTGGGGGAAAGTGAGGGAATGGAGGGAAGGAGGAGGGAGGGAGGAGGGGCACGGGTGACTTCTGAGGTATACCCAGCCATTACTTTTGATGTACACCCAGCTGTCACCTCGAGTCCAGCTGTCGTCGCCACCCACGCCCGTGATGGCATGATCCAGGTGCACCTGAGAGGAGGAGGGGGCGAGAAGTCGAAAGGTACCCTGTGACCCCTTCAAAGTCGAGCGAGGACGCCTGACTTGATTCAGCAGCGGGCCACAGTCCACCTGTCATCGCCACCCACGCCCATGATGGCATGGTCCAGGTGCACCTGAGAGGAGGGAGGGCATGAAGGGCTTTTGAGGCGCCTCAAAAATCGTCTCATTTCACGCAAGAGATGGCACTTACTTAAATATTCGGCCCTGGTTACCCGACATGGCTCTGCGGACGATTAAAAAAGAACTCAAGATTCAACTCCTTGCCTTCGACCAGCTCCTCCTCGTGCTGGGCTCGATGGAGTTCCTCACAGCACAATACCCACTTGCAGTGAAATGCAACAACGGCCTCCCAGCCTCACTTTCCTCACCTTCTTGATTCACTTGCACTTGCACTCGCTCCCTTCCCCCTCCCCAGTGCACTCCACATGGTTGAACTCCTCATCTTCCACCAGCTCCTCCCCGTGCTGTGCTCTATGCACCAAAGCCCCCCCGGCCTCCCCACCCTTACCGTGTATGCACCCACCATCCTCCCCTCCCAGATCCACTCACATGGTTGAACTCCTCATCTTCCACCAGCTCCTCCTCGTGCTGTGCTCGATGAAGCTCCTCCGCACAATACCCACTCGCACTGAAATGCAGCAGCGGCTGCCCGGCCTCACTGCCCTCCTCTGTGCCTCCTCTACCCCCTCCCCACCCCCTCCCCCTCCCCCTCCACCTATCTCCACTGGCTCCATCACAAGCCCTAAAAGTCCGTCCAGTGCTGGTGATCCCCCCTGTGCTCCCCCCTGTGCTCCGCTCTGTGTTCCTGTAAAGAGTGTGACCCAACGCGCATCTATTCTCGCCCCATTCTCTCCGGGGCAATGTACGGCACATGGAGAGATTCCACAGGCAAATAGTGGAGCGCCACATGTGCAGACTGCTTCCGGTCAGGATAACATTCATGCGGGCCCCGCCCTGACCAGACTGCGTTGGAAAGTTTCTTTGCTGCCTGGAACCGCATTCCAACGCGTGCAAGAGGCGGGAGAGAAGGGCTTGGGTCCACCCAAAATTTCACCAAGACCTGCCCGTTGCCATGGATCTGCCACTCTGATTTGAGCCGGATCCAGCAGTCCACATCTGAAATATTTTTGGCCTGTCCGATGCTGGCAGAACCTTCTCCATCTGCCCCTCCTCCATAAGCTTCAACCAGATTGGTTGGAGCAGAACCAACTTCGACAGCTTCCTCCTCCGAAATTTCATCTGCCCGGGGTCGGAAAGTTGCCTGGACAACCACGGAGACCATACCGTCCCTTCCGATCTCAACTCTCAAGGGCTCATCATCCCCCTCTGCTTGCTGCCCCTCTTCACCTTTCCCCTCTGCTTCCTTCCCCTCTTCCTTCCTTTCACTTATCTTCCCCTTTTCGTCCTTCCCCTTTCCCTCATCCCCCCCTACAGAAACCACAGTAGCATCCCCCGCCACGGCAATCACCCCCCCAGCGTCAGCAGCAGCGAGTCTGCTGAGCCCTGCTGCCTTCCACCTAGCGGCATAGCTGGCGTCCGCCCCTCCCTTGTCGTTGTCAGTGGGCGCCCGCCACACGCTCAGGCAGGGGGAGGAAAGCGCTGGAGGGAGCAGGACATCTGAACCGTTGATCTGAAAGGGTGTTTTTTTTTTGGGAGGGAGGGGAGGAGAGCAGTGGGGGCGAAGAGAGGGAGAGAGGGGTGCGCATTGACTCCAACACTAAGCCAAGAAAGGAGAAGCCCAAGCGACTTTTGAGGCGCCTCAAAAAACACTAAGCCAAGAAAGGAGAAGCCCAAGCGTCAGCAGCAGCGAGTCTGTTGAGCCCTGCTGCCCTCCACCTGGCGGCATAGCTGGCGCCGCCGCCTCCCTTGTTGTTGTCTGTGGGCGCCCGCCACATGCAAAGGCAGGTGGAGGAGGGCGATGGGGGAAGAAGGACGTAGGAACCATTGACGAGGGGAAAAGAGGGAGCGAGGAAGGAAGAGAGTGGGGGTATAGAGTCGCCCCCTCCCTTTTCTTTGTGGTGGGCGCCCGCCACACACTCTGGCAGAGGGAGGAGGGGGTGACAGAGGGGACAGGGAGAGAAGCAGGTTGGAACCATTCACCCGAGGGGGTGTTACCAAGGGATGGGGAGGGGGTTAGGGAGAGGGGTGAGAGGGGGGAGAGGGGGGTATTGAGCCGACTTCAAGCACAACACACCAAAAGAAGAGGCTTCAGAGGGAGCAGGCCTCACCTTCCAGGAAAGAGCGCCGCCGTCCTGGACGTGAACAGTGATTGCGAAAGAACCATCGGTAGATGTGACGATTACAGATGATTGGTGGATGGGTGCAGGCTCGGAGAGTGCAGGTTGGGAGATGGCAGGCTTGGTGGGAGGCTCGAGGGCAGAAGGCTTGGCTGAGGAGATAGTTCCTTCGGGCAGGTTTACGGGCAGCTGAACAGATGCAACGACCTGCCCGGTAGCGCACCACCTTGTTCTCTCATTCACTGTAGCAGTGAACAATGCAAAGAGCTCTGAGTCAGTGCTGACATCATGCGCTGCCCAGTCCAGGTCAGCAGGGATGGGGTTGGGGATGACATGGTGCTGACGTGGCAGGATGGTGGGGACGGTGAGGGGAGAGGAGAGGATGGGAGTGGGAGGAGAAGGGGGGAGGGTGGAGATGGGTTGAGGAGGAGGAGGGAGGGAGAAGAGAGAGAAGGAGAAGGAGAAGGCAGAGGAGGGCTGGTAGAAGCTCTTGTTGAAAATCTGGTGGATTCAGGGGGGGAGGGTGGGGTGGGGGAGTGGGGGGGAGGGGGCCAGGTGGGAAAAAAAGGGGAAGGAAAAACTGATAAGGGAAGAAGTACACAGGAGGTGCAAGAACACAGCAGTAGAAGGATAGACGGAGAGGTATTGGTGGAAATGAAGGGTAAATTGTTATGAGAGCGGTGCAGAGGGTTGAACAGGATGTCCCCCAAACCTGCCGACACTCCATAAAAAGCTCTGCAGCCCTCTGCACCGCTCTGCATACCTCAACAGTAGAGCTTTGCACACAGTTTGTACCTCTATGTCGCCTTGTTCCGTCCACTTGAAGCCAAAGTAGCGGTACACATGGGCCAGCTCTGGGGGTGGGCGGAGGGGAGATGAGGGGATGGAAGAGGGGCGGAAGAGAGAGATGTTATGGGGCATCTCAATACACATCGCTTTTGCACAGTCCACTTGAAGCCAAAGTAGCGAAGCACATGGGCCAGCTCTGATGGTGGTCGTGGGGGAATGGAGGGATGGAGGGATGTGAAAGAGAGGGATGCGGGAGGGATGATATGAGGCGCATCTATGCATGTCGCCCTGTTCTCGTCCATGTGAAGCGTCCAAAGTAGCGATAGACATGGGCCGGTTCTGGTGGTGGATGGAGGGCAGAAAAAGAGAGATGAGGCAGTGATGTGAAAGGTGGGAGAGGGATGTTGCGTAGGCCTTGGTATGGAGTCCCATGAGGCGTACGCATCATCCCTCGCGAGCCTGCTGATGTAGAGATGAAGATCATCAATGCACCTGCAGCCAGCATTATGCTGGTTATCATGTAGCCAGCCTTACGCCGTTACTACTACCTCTCATGCGCAACAATCACCTCGCATGGCAAGGTGGGGAGTTCTATCCGGCCATATCAGCCCATTGATGCAGAGTTTGAGGGCTGAGGCAGCTCATTACCTGCCTTACACTGCTACCTCTCATGCACAATAATCACCTTTCGTGCCAGTGTGCTTAGCTTACCTCGCATGGCAGGGTGCGGGGTCCTATCCGGCCATATCAGGCCGTTGATGCAGAAGTTGAGATCATTGGGGGTATCCCCAAAGTCACCACCATACGCCCAGAACCTTCCAGGATGCTTTGCAGGCAGCTCCACCTGCTCCCATGGCTGCTGCTGCTGCTGCTCTGTCTCCTTGCTGCCGTGGCTGGTTGTTGCTGCTGATGCTAGTGTTGCTTGTGGTGATGCTAATGCTGGTGCAGGTGTTGCTGCCGCTGATGCTGCTGCTACGTCAGCTGCTGCTTCTTCGGCTGTTGCTGCATCTCCTTCTCCTACTGCCTCTCCTTCCTGCGCTGGCTCAGCTGCTGACTCAGCTGCTGACTCAGCTGGAGGCCCAGCTGGCGGCTCAACTGCTGACTCAGCAGGGTTTGAATCCAAGTTAGATGCCCCACCTTCCCCTGACGCTCCAGCTTCTGTCTCTGCCAGCAATTCTGCTCTGAGTGAAGAAGACGCATCCTTGCTGCAGTTAATCGAACTGGTGACAACACTGCTCCGTGCTGGCAAGGCCTTCCAAAGGCCCTGAAGAGGGAAAGAAACGAGAGGTAAGACAAGGTGGCTTTTGACTTGAGTCGACTCAAAAGAGGAAAGGAAACGAGAGGTAAGACAAGGAGGCTTTTGACTTGAGTCGACTCAAAAGAGGGAAGGAAACGAGAGGTAAGACGAGGCCACAACTGACAGAGGAAGGAGGGGTTCAGAGAGAAGGGGCCCAGTCCCAAATGAATCCATCCTGCAGCCCAGGCCTACTCGAGTACCGAGGAGCGCAACTAGCACTACAATCAGCCTGTGCCAGTCAAAGCCAGTCCCATTCAAAGCCTGTCCCGGATAGAACCTGCCCCACCTGATCCACCCAGTCCCAGATGAAGCCTCCCTGCAGACCGTGGGTCGACTCTATGGCATCCCAATAGGCGTCCAGATTGCCACTGCTGTTGCCCATGGCGTGGGCGTACCTGGGGTAGGTGGTATATGGGCGGTACGAGGGGTGGAATTTGGGTGGTTATGTGCAGAAACATGGTGCATTGGAATGGGATTCCATCATCCCAGTAGGTGTCCAAGTTGCCACTGCTGCATGGCGTGGGCGTACCTGGGGGAGGTGGGCATACGGAATGCGAACACGGTTGGGTTTCAATCCCACAACAGCAACATGTGGTTCTACCTCAATTGAGACCACATCATCCCAGTAACAGGCGTTCAGGTTGCCACAGCTTTTGCCCATGGCATGGTTGAGGAATATGCTGCCATTTGCATGCTTTCTAGAGATTGGTCCAGCACAGATGTCCCCCACATCACGTCATGCATGGGATTGCATTAACTTGGAGCCTTCTTTTGAGTCGACTCAAAATCTAGAGATTGGTCCAGCACAGATGTCTCCCACATCACATCATGCATGGAATTGCATTAACTTTGAGCCTTGTGCGGATAGGCTTTGAGCTCAAAGGCAAGCCTTAAAGGCTGCACTCCAAACCAAACACAGCCTCAGAAACGAACTCCGCACTTTCGAGGTTCCACTCACTCGCAGAGAATGAGAGGGCGCGTCTCGTAGGGCCTTGAGCGATGGCCTTGAAATCGTGCATGCGCATGTACATGGGACACACTAGGTTGGTGGCAGGGGTGCTGATTTTACCTACAAATTCCTACTGACTCACTCGCAGAGAATAAGGGGCCATGTCTCGTTGGGGTTAGCAGCAATCGCCAGCATGTCATGGACGCGCCTGAACATGGAACACACACTCGGTCCATAGCCACAGTAGGCAGGGGGTAGCAATACACGAGATCGCACAGCGACTCACTCGCAGAGGATGAGAGGGCGGGTCTCGTTGGGGTCAGCAGCAATCGCCAGGATGTCATTCACCCGCATGTACATGGGACACACTAGGTCTGTTGCCAGGGTGCGGGAGCCTCCCCCCTCGTAGTGTATGGGTCGAGATGGGTCCCTGTGACGCAACCATGCTGGATAGAGGGAAGACGTGGCAAGGAGAAGGAGGTGCGACGGTGAGTAAGAGAGGAAGACGAACTGATTTTGCAGGGTGTTTTTGAGAATTCTAAAGAACAACGTGGCAAGGAGAAGGAGGCACGACGGTGAGTAAGAGAGGAAGACGAACTGAAATCCCGAATACCCAATATATGCCATGCCCCATTCCAATCATACCCGAACGATCCATCCATTTCAATAACCTGCCATGGCATCGTGGGTTGCGCCGTGCCCCGCCTCATTCCCCGGCGACCACACCACACCACCACGCTCTCATGGTTCTTGTCCCGCTCACACATCCCCAAACCACTCTCTTCCAAGCAAGTCCGTCATAACCAAGCAATTAGGGTGAACTCATACACCGGCCACCATACATACCCGCCATGGCATCGTGTGTTGCGCCATAGCCCGCCTCGTTACCCAGCGACCACACCATCACGCTCCCATGGTTCATGTCCCGCTCACACATCCCCATACCACTCTCTTCCGAGCAAGTCCGCCATAACCAAGCAATCAGGGTGAACCCATATGCCGGCCACCATACATACCAGCCATGGCATCGTGTGTTGCGCTATACCCTGCCTCGTTCCCCAGAGACCACACCACCACGCTCTCATGGTTCTTGTCCCGCTCACACATCCCCATACAAGTGAAACTTACAGGCCACACAACCCACCCAATATCAGCCACGCACAAACAAGCCATCCATTCCCTACCATCCATTTATCCCACCTGCCATGGTATCGTGTGTTGCGCCGTACCCCGCCTCGTTCCCCAGAGACCACACCACCACGCTCGCATGGTTCTTGTCCCGCTCACACATCCTAATCACCCTCGCCCCCATTGCTGCCGCCCACTCGGGGTCCTCGGCCGGCTGCCGCCCCTTCCGGTTGAGGTGATTGTCCGGATCAAATCCATGTGTCTCGATGTTGGCTTCATCGATCACAAGGAGGCCAAACAGGTCGGTCAACTCGTACCTGAGGGGAGCAGGGGAGGAAGGGGGGGAGGGGGAAGGTGGGGTGGGGGGGGGGGGCAGAAGATTGGGAGTTGCTATGAGCATGAGTGGAGGGGCATCTTGTCCCGCTCGCACATCTTCATCACCCTCGCACCCATCGCTGAAACTCATGCGGGGACCTCGGCCGGCTGCCGGCTGCTGGCTGAGGGAGGAAGGAGAGGAAGTGATAGGCTTTTTAGAATTCTCAAAAACCTATTACAGTCAGGTCTGTCAACTGACGGGCATGTGCATAACCGAGGGAAGAAGGAGAGGAAGTGGAGGAACAGGTGAATGCATGCACAAGCTTCCTGCATATGATCACCCTCCTTATGAGCAAGAGACCGTTATTGCCACCCTCCTCACACATCTGTCATCACCCTCCTCACCCAGCCAGTACCCAGCAGGGCCACTACATACCATTTTCAGGGCGACATACCAGCGAGGGTGGTTGGGGTAATGGCTGCATCGCACTGCATTCACATTGTGCCGCTTCATCTCCACCACATCCTGGGAAGGGGGAGACGGCAGGAAGTGGGAGGAAGGAAGCGAGAGAATGAGAACAGGACAGCAAGACGCACGCAGTACACGGCGTTCACATTGTGCTGCTTCATCTCCATCACATCCTGGGAGAAGCGAAGAGCAGAGCAGGGGGGAGGCGAGAGAGAGTGAGGACAAGACAGCAGGGAGGGGTATGGTGAGAGGATGAGTGCCGTCTGATCTCCACCACATCCTGGTAAGAAAGAAGAAAAGAACAGAAAGCGGGTGGGAAGAGAGGGGAGAAGAGAGGACGCACGTGCAGACATGCATGATAAGTCACCATGATAATCATAGTGACCATGCACTGTTCACCATCCACACACGTTGACCAGCCTTAACCAGCGTTGACTCACCTTGACCAACATTGACCCTCATTGCCCAGCGTTGACTCACCTTGACCATGCACTCCTCTATGTTGACCTTCCCTGTCTGCGGGTGGTGCTCATGTCGGTTCACTCCTTTCACCTCCACTGCCCGCCCATTCACCAGCAGTTCCCTCCCCCGCACCTCCACCCTCCTCACCCCCACCCTCCCTGCCTCCACCTGCTGCGGCTTCCCTGACGCGTCTGATAGTGACACCACCAGCGTGTATAGGTGCGGCTGAGGGGGTGGGGGTCAAGGGTTTCGGATTTAGGGTATAGGGTTCAAAACGGGGATGGAGAAGAAGGTTGAGTGAAAGAGGGCAAAAGCGGGATCTCCAGAGCCCTCCTTAGACCAGAATCAGGGGTGCTGGATCTGATCTCTCTCACCTGATCAGGAGACCACAACAGAAGCTTGTCCTTATCCACCTTCGCCTCCATCCTCACTCGCATCGTGTTCCCAATCACCACCACCTTGTCATCCTCCCTTCCTCCACTCCCCTCTCCCCCCTCTCCCCTCACCCGCCCCCAACCCCACAGGCTGAAAAGCCGCTACTGCTGGGATTTTCAGAGCTTCTAGGTCGTCCCTCTCGGGGTCTTTAGGGGAGCGGGACGTGGGGGACATTGGGACGGAGGACGAGGAGGAGGAGGGCGAGGGAGGGTGCTGAGGTGGCGGCGGTGGGGAGCGCCACGCGTCGAACAGATAGGCCTCGACGTGACAGCTGTCGAGCAGCGATTGGATGTCGCAACGGGGCCAGCCCTCCAAGAGCACCTCCAGCTGAGGTTGAGGGAGGCGAGGGAAAAGGAAAGCAGAGAAAGGGGGAGGGGGGGTTTGGGAGGGGGGAAGGGGAGAGGAGGGGGAGAAGAGGGGGGGAAGGGAGTGAAGCTAAGACAAGGAAGGGCAGAAAGGTGGTGGATGGGGAAAGGCATTGGATGGGGGCGCCACTGACAAACACCATTGCATGCACCACCATCCACCCACTACATCACCCGCCCATCCCATGCACCGTGCCTTGAGAATTCTAAAAATACCGTGCAATTTGTTGGATTCCCTTTGTCCTCCACCTATGCATGCACCAACATTGCTGTTCCGTCACAGCTGCTGACTCCCTATCAGCCGATATTGCTGTTTCGAATGTGCTGCTGCCTCGTCAGTCTTGACCTCGAAACCCATCCCTTCCCCATGCATCCCTACCCCCATGCATCCTTACCCCCATACATCCCTACCCCAATCCTACCATACATCCACAACCCCAATGCCACCATAACACCCCCATGCACCAGCACCATTTCACCTTCACTATGGCTGACTGCATGTCGTCTGCCACATCAGTCTTGACCTCCAAGTCCGCAATGTGCACCTGATGCGAGGAACGAGGGAGAGAGGGAGAGAGGGAGAGAGGGAGAGAGGGAGAGAGGGAGGGAGGGAGGGAGGGAGAGGAGCATGGGGAAGTGTACATGTAGGGCAGCAGGAGGGTAGGTGCGAGGGTATAGGGCGGGGAGGGCATAAGTTTTGACCTGAAGTCTGCAATGTACACCTGGCCTGGGGTTGGCAGTGGAGAGGTTTAGGGGAAGAGAGGGAGAGCCTGGGTTCGAACTTCGAACTCTGAGGCCACTTGCACAAATGCAGCTGTACAGCAACTCTCTTGTTGCGTGAGCCAGGAGCAAAGGTGAAATTGCACATGTTAACGCAGAGCAGAGTGGATGGAATCTCACCTGCGGGCCGCACAAGTGTGAGCCAAATCTCACTTGTTGCGGGCAACACAAGCGTGAGTCAAACCTCACCTGTGGCCGGCACAGCAGCGTGACGTCCCTGTGCATGCCTGACAGCCACCAGTGGTCCTGGTCCTCCAGGTAAGACCCGTCGCTCCATCGCACTATCATCACCGCCAGCACATTCTCCCCTTCCCCCTCCCCTTCCCCTTCCCCCTCAGCCCTCTCCCCATCCCCTGGCTCTTCCCCAGTAACACGGTTCTTCTCCTCCCTCTCCTTCCCGCGTGTGACACAAAAGGGAGTGACGTTGAACTCTGCAGGGAGCCGGCTGTCCTGGCTGTAGCCCACGTAGTTGCCGTTGAGCCACACGTGGATGGCCGAGTCAACGCCCTCGAAGCACAGCGTGATGTGCTGGCCTGGCAGGGATACCACCAGGGAGAGAGGGAAGGGGGAGTGAGAGTTGGAGACTCTAATTGTTAGCAGGGAGCCGGCTGTCTTGACTGTAGCCCACATAATGCCGTTCAGCCAACGTGGATGGCCGAGTCAACGCCCTCGAAGCACAGCGTGATGTGCTGGCCTGGCAGGGATACCACCAGGGAGAGAGGGAAGGGGGAGTGAGAGTTGGAGACTCTAATTGTTAGCAGGGAGCCGGCTGTCTTGACTGTAGCCCACATAATGCCGTTCAGCCAACGTGGATGGCCGAGTCAACGCCCTCGAAGCACAGCGTGATGTGCTGGCCTGGCAGGGATACCACCAGGGAGAGAGGGAAGGGGGAGTGAGAGTTGGAGACTCTAATTGTTAGCAGGGAGCCGGCTGTCTTGACTGTAGCCCACATAATGCCGTTCAGCCAACGTGGATGGCCGAGTCAACGCCCTCGAAGCACAGCGTGATGTGCTGGCCTGGCAGGGATACCACCAGGGAGAGAGGGAAGGGGGAGTGAGAGTTGGAGACTCTAATTGTTAGCAGGGAGCCGGCTGTCTTGACTGTAGCCCACATAATGCCGTTCAGCCAACGTGGATGGCCGAGTCAACGCCCTCGAAGCACAGCGTGATGTGCTGGCCTGGCAGGGATACCACCAGGGAGAGAGGGAAGGGGGAGTGAGAGTTGGAGACTCTAATTGTTAGCAGGGAGCCGGCTGTCTTGACTGTAGCCCACATAATGCCGTTCAGCCAACGTGGATGGCCGAGTCAACGCCCTCGAAGCACAGCGTTATGTGCTGGCCTGGAAAACATGCGCGAGGGGAGAGAGGGAAAACGGTGTGTCGTTGAACGCCCACGTAGCTACCATTGAGCCAGTAGTTTAGTCTGAAACTTCTAAAAACTTAACTACTTACACACAAATCATACGCGAGGGAAGACAGGGAAAAGGGTGTGACATTGAACGTGTGTAATGAGTCGATTTTTGAGTCGACTCAAAAATCGACTCATTACACACGGATCATACGCGAGGGAAGAGAGGGAAAAGGGTGTGACATTGAACGACTTTTGAGGGAAGAGAGGGAAAAGGGTGTGACATTGAACGACTTTTGAGGGAAGAGAGGGAAAAGGGTGTGACATTGAACGACTTTTGAGGGAAGAGAGGGAAAAGGGTGTGACATTGAACGACTTTTGAGGGAAGAGAGGGAAAAGGGTGTGACATTGAACGACTTTTGAGGGAAGAGAGGGAAAAGGGTGTGACATTGAACGACTTTTGAGGGAAGACAGGGAAAAGGGTGTGACATTGAACGACTTTTGAGGCGCCTCAAAAGTCGCGAGGGAAGACAGGGAAAAGGGTGTGTCGTTGGACACAAATCATATGCGTTGACATTGAACGCAACGCCCACGTAGCTACCATGGAGCCGCACATCGATGGCAGAGTCAACAACCACCTGACCAAGAGGCAAATGCATCTGAAAACCCACCTGACCAGGAGGCAGGGAGGGAGAAGCGGCGGCGGTAGCAGGCGGTGGGGTTGTCGGTGGGCACGAAGGGCGGCTGGATGGGGAAGGGGTACTGGATGTTGGTGTAGATGGGCGGGTCCTCCACCTCCTCCTCCTCTGACGCGCCTGCTGCTGCTGCTCCTGCTTTGGTTTCTGCTGCTTGGTGCTGCTGCTGTTTGTGCTGCTTCTGCTGCTGCAGCTGCAGCTGCCAATGGGATGGCACTGAGGGCGGGCAAGGGGGAGGGGGGGAGGGAAAATGGGCAAGAGGTGGGAGGAAAAAGGGCAAGAGAGGAGGTGGTTTGAGTCGATACTGAAGCTGTTACTGCTGCTGCTTCTGCTGCTGCCGCTCCAGCTGCCAATGGGATGGGACTGCGGGCGGACAAGGGGGAGGAGTGGGGGGGGGCGGGGTGTTTGGTGGGGACGGGGGGAAGGGGAAGGGGAGAGAGGCAGTGATGTGCGTGAGTTACGGGGAAAGGCATCTGTGGTGTGCATCGGGGGGGGGGGGGGGGAGAGGGGGGTAGAGGCAGGCTGGTGTTAGGCATAGGGAAAATGTACAGAGTCGGAAATCAGTATCAAGCTGAGGCACACATCCGAACAGACAGGATGCACCCAAATGACAGACAACCACTCTCAACTTAAGAGTGAGTCACCTGAATGCGTTGACCACTCAGAGTCATTAAATCCAGGAGAAAAAAAACCCTCGGGAACTTCCTCAGGCCTTGGGAATAGCCGGAACCGCCAGGAGCCGCTCAGAGAGGCAACACGTGGCAGCCCGTGGACCCACCACCTGGCACTCCGTACAGCTGCCACATCAGCGCCTGCTCCCGGCGCCCAGGTGGCAGCATCCGCTGCTTCGAACGTGGCTGCCCTGTCCCTTTGGTACCAGAACCGAAGGGCGTCTGAGGGGGGGTGAAGCATTGCAGGCGTAGGAGCAAGGCAGGGAGGAACAGAGAGTACACTCGAGTTGATGTCAGAATCACCGGGGAGCGCCATCTGGTAGTTCGAACATGACTGCCCTGTCCCTGTGGTACCAGAACCGAAGGCGTCTGATGGGGGGGAGAGAGAGGAGAGGCATGGAAGACGGGTGGGTGTGGAAGGAACGCAGATGGGAACGAACGTGGATGGATGTAAGGGTCACAAGGCAGGGAGCCACGAACATGGCTGCCTTGAACCTGAACCTGCTGTATTAGAACCAAAGGGCACCTGAATGGGGATCAGGAGAGGGGATTAGATTGGACATGCAATGATGGACATGCACTAATGAACATGCAATGATGGGAATGCAATGTGGAACATGGGATGTTGACCAAGCAATGTGGAACATGGGATGTTGACCAAGCAATGTGGAACATGGGATTATGATGAGCATGCAACGATGAACCACCAATGTTGAACGTGCGAACACGATTACGCAATACTGGAAATAGAATGATGAAGATGAATGCAGGCCATGCAATGTTGAACATGTAATGCTGAACGTGCAATGTTGAGCATGCAACGTTGTGCATAAATAAATTAACAAGGAACTGAGGAGCATGAAATTCAAGAGAACGAATGTTGAACATTTAATGTTGATGATGCAATGTTATTTCTCCACCCAATGATGAACATGCAATGTTGAACAGACAATCTTGAACATGCATGTGGTGACATATCTCCTCCACAGCATCCCACATTATTGCAGTGACTCGTAGCGTCTACAGTCGCATGTGAGTGCAGAGCATTAACAAGCCACTAACACACCCCCCACGGCATCATATGTGTCAATGCGACATGGTTCGTACCGTCGACAGTCGCGTGTGAGTGCTGAGCATTAGCAAGCTACTAAATCAACACTGAATCTTCAGCATTGCACCCCCACGGCATCATACGTGTCAATGTAACACGAATCGTACCGTCGACACTGGCATGTGAGTGCAGCGGCACGTGCGCTCTCTCTCGCTTGTATCCGAACATCGCTTGGTCCTCCCACCACCGCCCGCGCAACACCTCCGCCACGCTGCTCCCCATTCCGCTCGAATCCGCGGATTTAATACAGTGATCTCCGCAACTACTCGCGCTATTTCCGCCACTGCTCGCGCTTTCCCCCGCAACTTGCGCCGAAATCACCGTCGGATGTCCTTTCGTGCAGCTTCTCAGGCTTCCGGTTCTCAGGAGCGATGGAAAGCGCAGTGAGTGGGAAACCAAGGGACGCGAAGGATGCGGTCGGCGAGCACGTGGTGATTCCGAATTCGTTGTCAGATGCACGGAGCTTCTCAGGCCTCTGAACCTCAGGAGCGATGGGGTGACTGGCAGCGAGTACTGGAAGAAGGGACGCGAAGGATGCGGTATATGAGCACGTGGTGATGCCGACTTTGTTGCCGGATGCACGGAGCAATGAACGTGGCCGGTGGACCAGGCAAGGAGCATGGAGCAGCGCGCCAGATGGCCGCTAAAGGTTGCGTGCGGGTATCAAGGTGGTGACAAGAACATTTCAGGTTACCAATTTCGAACAGCATACGCAGCAACAAGCGGAGGAGCAAGCGATAGAGCCGCTGGGAAGGTTTTGGGAAAGATGGATGAGGGTGCAAGAGAGAAGGCTCTGAAATGCTGGCATGACAGGATTTCTTAGACCCGAATTTGTGCCTGTCAGACGAGATTCTGAATTTCTTAGACCTCAATTTGTGCCTGTCAGACGAGATTCTGAATTTCACTCTTCTGTTCAGAAGTGTGAATCTGTGCCGATCTGGCCACTTTCGTTCGGAATACTCGCTGTGGGACGAAACTCTCGTGAAGCAATTCGGAGTTCCCGAGGAACGAAGGGGGAAGCGTAAGGAAAAAAAACAGATTGCAATGTTGATCTCAATATGACAATTGAAGCTACCGGAATGATATGTACGACAAACAATAAATTCTTCATTGTCTTTTATGCGGCACGGCACTCAGATTTCCTTCCACCTCCACCTCACCTATTCTCAACCCTATTCCCTGGAATATAACTCCAGATGTTTGCCCTTCATATAATAGCCCCAGACGCGTGTACGAAAGAGAGGATATGCCATAGCACTTCCACACATTGGGCAGAGAGGAAAACCAGTTGCACGGCAAAGGCAGGCGACTTGGCCGATCATCTTGAGGGCTGCGGAAAAAGACCAACTCCAATGCATCAGGGTTGTTGGAAGGTCCAACAAGAGTGATTGTATAGCTTAGCTCCACACGAGAGATGAACCTGCCGCCGACAAGAAGAATTGGAGGGGGGGAAAAAGAGGGGAGAAAGAGCAGCTCTGATGCTAGTTGGTGGAAGGTCCGACGAGAGTGACTGGATAGCTTAGTTCCACACGAGAGATGAACCTGCCGATGGAACGAACACACAGGGGACAGGTGAAATTTGGGGTAGGGGTAGGAAACATGGGGGGAGGAACATGAAAAAAAAAAACTGCCTGCTGGGGGGGGAGGGGGGAAGTGAGGGTGGGACTTATCATTGCAACTGTAGCTCATTTTAAACTTACTGTAGCTCGCTTGAAACTTAGTGTAGCTCGTTTTGAACTTACTGTAGCTCACTTGAAACTTAGTGTAGCTCGTTTTGAACTTACTGTAGCTCGCTTGAAACTTAGTGTAGCTCGCTTTGAACTTACTGTAGCTCGCTTGAATCTTAGTGTAGCTCGTCTTGAACTTACTGTAGCTCGCTTGAAACTTAGTGTAGCTAGTTTTGAACTTACTGTAGCTCGCTTGAAACTTAGTGTAGCTCGTTTTGAACTTACTGTAGCTCGCTGACATAAGCCCCGCCGTACACCACTCCCTCCCTCGCAAACGCAGCCCCATATTTCGGGGCACGGAAGTGCGGCGGAGGGGAGGAATCTCCCAGAGGGTCACCAGGCGCTACAGTCATTTCCCCTGACGCCACGACCCACCACTCCATCTCTGCCGGCCACAGGTACGCTTTATGGAGGGCCAGAGACGGCAGGGGGAGGGTGAGGTCGGGCTGGCAGGTGTGCACCGAATATACGGTGGGTGCTGCCCTCACCCACTCGGAGTCAAACCGGAAGAGCTGCAGGAGGAGAGAGGGGGGGGGAGGGGGTGAAAGGGGGGGGGAGGGGGGAGAGGGAGGGAGGGAAGAGGAGCAGAAGAAGGAGAAGTGGGTCACCAGGCACTACGGTGATTTCCCCTGACGCCACGACCCACCACTCCATCTCTGCCCGCCACAGATACGCTTTATGGAGGGCCAGAGACGGCAGGGGGAGGGTGAGGTCGGGCTGGCAGGTGTGCACTGAGTACACAGTTGGTGCTGCCCTCACCCACTCACTGTCAAACCGGAAGAGCTGCGGGAGAAGGGGGAGGGGGGGGAGGAGGGAAGGAAGTGGGGGGGGGAGGAGGAGAGGGGGGGGAGAATTTGGATGGATAGGATGGAGAAATAAGAGCAAAGACAGAGAGACGGGGGACGAAGGGGCCATCATGGGTCTCCTACAAGCTGCACACAATACAACGCACCTACCCAGGCGACAGACAGCCCTTCCCACTCACTTGTTCTCGATTTCTGGCGGTTTTCATGGCAGCCCCTCCTGGTGCTGCTGCTGCGCTGTTGGGCTGCTCCACCATGAGAGAGAGAGGGAAACTTTCGACATTGCCCGCCACGGTCAGCTGAACGAAAATCCCCGGGCAGGATTCGGAGGAGTCGGAAATTACGAGGGAGGCCAAGATGCCCGAGCCTCGTAGAAAGGAGGTCACACACGCTGTAGTTGAGCGGGGAAGAGCGGGGAAGAGCGGGGAAGACAGGAGGATTCTATTCCGGGGCAGGATTCGGAGGAGTCGGAGATTATGAGGAAGGCCAGCACGCCGGAGCCTTGTAGAAAGGAGGTCACAAGAAAGGAGGTCACAAGAAAGGAGGTCACACATGCTGGGGACGAGTGGGGAAGAGCGAGGAAGAGCAGGGAAGAGAGGGGAAGAGAGGGGAAGAGAGGGGAAGAGAGGGGAAGAGAGGGGAAGAGAGGGGAAGAGAGGGGAAGCGAGGGGAAGCGAGGGGAAGCGAGGGGAAGAGAGGGGAAGCGAGGGGAAGAGAGGGGAAGCGAGGGGAAGAGAGGGGAAGCGAGGGGAAGAGAGGGGAAGCGAGGGGAAGAGAGGGGAAGAGAGGGGAAGAGAGGGGAAGAGAGGGAAGAGAGGGGAAGCGAGGGACGAGGGGAAGCGAGGGGAAGCGAGGGGAAGAGAGGGGAAGCGAGGGGAAGAGAGGGGAAGCGAGGGGAAGAGAGGGGAAGAGAGGGGAAGCGAGGGGAAGAGAGGGGAAGCGAGGGGAAGAGAGGGGAAGCGAGGGGAAGAGAGGGGAAGGGGAAGTGAGGGGGAGCGATAGGGAGTAAAGCCAAAAAGGTTTGGGATGGAAACAGCTGGTGGCGGTTGGGTAAGGGGGCGAAACTGGAAAGGAAAGCGGAGACATGGAGGAGAAGACAGCAAGGGGAGTAGGAGCAGGAGTGTACGGAGTATGGAAAGGCGTGCACGGGAAAGACCGAAGAGCAAAGGCAAGCTGGAAACTGGAAGCATGAGGCTGGAAACGGGAGTACTGGAAACGGATACGGAGGGATTGGAAAGGCACGTACTTTGAGATGCTGCTGACGTGTAGAAAGAAATGACAAGGCACGATGACACTGGCATGACAAAAGTTGCCACGGAAACGGGAAGGAAGGATGGTGAGAGGAAGGAAAGGGGAATTCTGATGTTTTCACTGGGGTATTTGCAGATAGATACGAGCAGAGGAGGTTGAGCCCAACAGACGGACGACTTTCACATGATAAGAGACGAAAGGCAAGCGACGGCAGGAGGCGCACCTAGAAGTAGGCAGGCAGAGCGTCGTCTCGACAGGCGTCCGACCCGAAAGAGGAGCGACGCTAGGAAGCCCGTCGACGCTGCTGGATGTGGAAAATGGATTCGCATGGCGGATAGGTAGGGATAGGTAGTACGTCACAAAAATGAGGGATGGTGGGGTCCCAAATGCCCTCGCCGATGTCGGAGACCGTTTGCGATTCTGGACTTGTGAGGACGAGAAATCGCGCCACGCTGAAAGTACGCAGCCACTTGCGGAGGAGCCTCTAGAATACCTGAGGCGCCTCTAGAATACTTTTAGGAACCACTTAAAAGTCGATATTAGGGGCTACTGCACTGTACGTGGGTGGCCAACCCTAAAGAAATGCGTCTAGGACAAGGTCTTCGAAAGCCAGCCATAGAATGCAGTCTTCGGATTGAATTCAGGGGTCGCATCGCAACCCAACTTTCTTCTTTCGACTATCCGCGTTTGTGAGAGCGCTAATACAGTAGTCGTCGAGGTTGGGAAAACCGCGTTCCGTCCGCGTTTTTTCGCCAGCCTATGTAGTCAACAGGGGAAACACGACTGGAGAGTGGCTTGGCTTGGCTTGGCAGCATGAGCAAGAAAACGCGATACTAACAATACAGCTTTCGGATCGAAAGCACGCAAAAAATAAAGAGCATGCATAAGAAATATAGAATTTAAATGATACCATGGAAGTTTACCATATGATGGGGACAGGCATAGTAGAAATCCTTGAGGAAACTTCATCTCGGCCTTTTCATAATCAGGTGTGTTACTATACGGAAATCCTGCTAAGGCAATCCAGTGCACCACTCTCTAGCGAAGGATATCCCCTATCGGGTATGCGCAAACATGCGTTACAGACTTATATGAGTTTTGTGTAATTCACTGTACTGGACGGCCATATCGAAAGTTCCCGACGTCCATCACCATCCACGGCTCGTGGAAAGCCCAATGTTTGACGTGGTACAGAAGACTGACAAGGCAGACCCCAGGGTTTCTCTTGAGAGCCAGGATACCCTACTGCGAGTCTCCTCTTACGTTCTAGGTAGCGTTTGGATCGACTAGGTCTACGTGGTTTCGAGCCAGGATGCGAATGTCCTAGGTCGTCGGGAGTCATCCGGTCGATAGCATATCAGCGTATTTTCTTCCTTAGACTCCTCGCCTTACGGCCATCATCAGTCCGTCGTAACCGACGCTGCCTTCCGCCACCTTTAGTTTCCGATCGCTAAGGAGGCGTTTACGCCATGCAGAGGCGTTCCGCATCACAGGTATCAACAATCTCAGAGTAAGCTTAGGACTCTTTGGAGGTATCGACGGTCTCAGTGTAAGTTTAGGGCTCATGAGATGTATTAACGGTTTTCTGTATGGAATCCAGATAAGATTGAGTGGTAACGACAGCCTGTATGTGAGACTGAGAACTTATCAACGGAGCCTGTCTGTAGAAGAATACTTCAGCACGTGTTTGGCATGTATCATTGTATCAGCAATATCAATCGTCTCTGGATAATTGACAACGTAATAAATGTATCATCGCACATCCTCCAGTAAGCTCTCTACGGCTCTTAGCATTGGTGGTTTTTTTTTTCTTCTTCTTCTTAATCTCCCGCAATTTACGAATCAGCGTAGGTGATTTCGTCTCAGTCTTCCTTCTCGTTGTCTCCGCTAAGGCATCGTGAAATCACGTCGTTGATTGTTGCGTCTCACGTTGCTTCCCCCCTTCCATGGCCAGGATCGAGAGCGGGAGCGAGACCGAGATTGGGACAGGGACAGGAAACGCGAGACATCTTGAAGTCACGTTATTGTTTTTTACATTGCCTCCCCCTTCTCCATGGCCAGGATCGAGAGCGGGAGCGAGATGGAAATTGGGACTG